TGTACTAAAGGCCAACACTATGGAAAATAATATTTCAGTTTTGGGTGAACACCAGTGGTATACACTCTGGCTTGTTGTATCACTTGCGGAATCCAGTTGGTAGATTTCCTGCATTGGTTTGTTTACCTGGCCCATTCTACAAGGCCATTACGAAGGTTTCAGTCACTTAACAAAATGCCTACTACTTCTACATTGTAGGGAGTCAACCAATGGACCACATACCCATAGTTCAGATCTGTTATGGCATTTTGAAGTGATTTAGAAGTCTGGTGTGTAGTGGAATTTTGATATTAACTCATACACTTCATGTTATTAATTTGCATATACATTATTATTAATATGATGTAATAGTTTAAGTTTTTTAGTCTTGAAAGTTGAGCAGCTTTATACAGACATATACAGATTAACGCTTGATGAACCCTAAGCGCATACAAGACTCACTTGGAATATGTGCATGTGCCCAGTCTATGTGCTTGGGCTGCAATAGAAGGGACTAGAACACTTTGGGAGGCATGTCTAAGGAATTGTAAGATTTATGGCTAGGTGCAGTGACGTAGGGCATTTTTCTTACTGTAGCCCATATGATTGTATTGTAAAATTCCTTATAAAAAATCCAGCTGCTATCATTAAACCTGCTAAATGAAGCTTCTGCCTGGTCCGATCCTTTGCTATTCCACTTCGGGGGTTAGATCTCACCTTTTAGGAGTTGGAGAATATAAGAAGGCAATTTTAAATGCAAACACCACTCTGGACTGGTTGAAGTGGACCTTTTAATTCTCTGTTTGGATGGTGAGCTGTTAAGTGGGACCTAAGTCAGCTTAGGTCATGTACTCAGAGTCCTGAAATGTTACTATTTGGAGGGCAGGCCTGGAGTACTGTTCTTCAGCATTGGCCACCTTTTCCTGTATTTTCACTGTCAGCAAAAGTGTTAAAAGACTGCAGGTTGATTTATGGCAAAACCACTAGACCAGAAAGGGGAACCAGGCTGCAGTATTTGTATAGTTGGGGTACTGTTTTACAAGGGAGTGTTGACAGGTGGGACATGCAGGAGAGAACAAGTCACAAGCCTTTAGGCAAGCTCCTGAAGCACTCATCTTCAATCCTTCAGTATTGAATGAAGTTTTGCTTTTTAAAAATAAAAATTAATTGAAAACAAGCAAATATGTAGGATTCCTTATTTTTAATTTAAGGTAAAAGCCAGGTGGATTAGTTTGAAAAGCTGGTGGCTTTTGAAACCGGCCACTCCATATTAGCGCTACAAGATGCCTGTTGTTGCCATTAATAGCCAGAAAAGCCTCTTCTGTGTTTTTCTCTGATTTAGTTTTGATTTGTTACTACGGCCTGACTATCTCTAACAATTTGCAGGGCTTAGCTTTGAAATCAAACTCTCAGAATGAAAAAAACGTAGATCAGTCAGGGGCACAGAAAAAGCGAAATTTTCTTTTGTAGGTATCAGGTATGTTGTGCTGTCTTTTACAGGTTCACTTAGCACTAGGGATGCACCGATTACCGTTTTTTCGGTATTGAGTACAAGTACAAATATTTATATATTGTGACTCGCGGGTACGGAGTTCCTATACTAGTACTTCCGGTTGCATGGAGCCGGCTTCCCGGCCAAACAGGAAGCCGGCTCCATGTTCCCTCGTGGCACAGGAAGTTATGGTATCGGGATAAGTATCGGAGCATTTAGGCGAGTAAGAGTACTCGTCCAAATACTCTGTATAGGCACCAATTTTAGTATCAGTGCATCCCTACTTGGCGCCATGTGTTTTTTGTGTGGTGCACAGTTTACAAGTGGGGTACCATGCTGAGCTGGTGTGCATCTATTTACTTGTTCCCTGTGCAGAGGATTTGCATTGTAAAACAAAATGTCATAAAGTGGGCTTCATGTATTTAGATGTAGAGATTCCACAGCCCACTCTTGGCAATAATTGGGAAATAGATTAAGATTTTTTTTTTTTTTTTTATTTAAGAGCATCATGGGGTCATGAAACCTCAACCTGTTTCTTACTTGGAGACTGACACTTTATCCGTAGTTTGTGTCTGTGTGTTGGGTGGAAGAGGTCATTTGAAGTCTACCAGTTGCTGTCCGCTGTCTGACCTCACACACTGAGCACTCATATAATGGGGGGCGACATGTATGTTTTGCCGGCCAGCAACCGTCAGGCTTCAGGTAACCGTTCGCTCCAGAAATGACGTTTCTAGACCCTAGAGCACACAAAATCAGTTCAGCAATGGCAGCTCCAATATTTCTAACCCAACAGGTGTCCTTTGATAGCCAACAGGGTCCAGTTTGTAGGAGCACAAGAGAACATCAAGTGAGCCGTACAGGAGTCTGGTATTGCAGAGGCCACCATACACAGACAAAAATAACCTCATAAAGATATGAATGTCTAGTGATAATGTCATGGTGTATGGAGCAAGATCAATCAATCACATGAACCATTGGTGTCATTAAAGCCGTGGTGGCTTGAGTCTTTTATCATTTTGTTTTATCTTCGCAGAGAAAAGACATTTTTTTATGCACTGAATTACAGACATGCAGGCCTGTTGAAGAGGCATAGCTCAGAAATTCATTGTTTCTTTCCCCCGTGTATGGCCACCTTTTAGATCAGTCTGCGCTTTAGCAAGATGTAGTCTGTATTGGCTTCTTTAGAATACTGAATTATAAAGAATACTCTAGAAATTGGCTTTAGGATTCTCTGCTGCAGTGTACTCCTTTTTCAGTCGTGTGCTGTAACCATTACTGTAGATTACTTTTCCCCATGCCCCCAAAAATGACATTTTGACTCAGTCTTGTCTGTTAATCCTTTCTCTGCAGAACATTGCATGGCAGTCCTGTTGGCAGGTAATTGGCACCATTGTGTAGTAATTGGAGAGTGATTTGGTGAGTGCTTTCCTCCGAGCTTGTGGCTTTCATTAGCACATCATCTTTTTTATGGTTTTCAGCAATAGAACAGAAAATACACTATTTAAAGAAAAAAAACTCAACTTTTTTTTCTTTCCTCTATTTATGCATAAGTAAACATAGATCATTGATGATGGATATAGCTCACGGTTAGCAGAATATACATTACAAACTGCCATACAGAGTGATGGAAAGTATCAAAAGGTAGTGGTATGTAACACTGCTTCCTTAAAGTCCTTCACCCCGGGAGGCCTCAAACCTGAGACACACACAATATACAGATACGAACTGTGCTGAATGATGGAGCTTACCCATTCTCGTGCAATAGCATACTGCAATGCAGGAGTCTCAGAGTTTTTTTTTAATAGTTGCAGACCTTGCATTATAGGCGCAAGGTGGGTGTATCTGAGACGATGTAGAGTCAGTCGATATTTACATACTATGCACTTCCCAGAAGTGAGGACTTTGGGTCATGCCAAAGAAGGAATAGATGAGCCATCTTGGGAGTTTATACACAGAGTTATCAACACAGGAGTCAGAGGTGACAGTGGGTGACATGAGTTTTCTAGGATGGACCATGTAGATTGGAGATCAGTGCTCTTGTATTGGTGTGTGACCTATTTATACAGTATACAAAGCATAGGCAAGTACTTTGGTGTGGTTTTCGAGTAAAGGAGGGAAATTAACAAACACTTGTGCATGGAGAGAAATGCACTAAGTTCTATGTGCAGACAGATGTGGAGCCAAACAAATAAAAGTCATGCATGATGCTACGTTAATGTGTTTCATAAAATAGTAATGTTTATGCACAGCCATTGCTTCTCCAGTTTCACAGTTGCCAAATGTAAGATAGATGTGTGTGTGTGTATAGATAGATAGATATGTAGATATAAATATATTAGAAAGAGAGACTAAAATATACTTTCCCAATTCCCAGCTGATTACAGTTTCTACTATCTACACTATTGACCAATATGCCACTCCACAACTAGCTCCTTCATAGACCGTTTACACATCTATGGTAATGGTGTATATTTAAAACCATTTTTGTAACTTTGAACTGTGCGAACTGACACACGCTATTCAGACATAAAAATAAACCTAGAAGTGGGATTGACTGTTTTAACACCACATAGAACCTCTCTTTATAACAATGTTAATTTTGGCTCACGGAACCACCAATGCACCAATATTTACACCACAAACATGATGTATTCCGCTTTTGTTATTTTCCCCCCAAGACAAGAGTTTGTCCTTTGTCACTATCTACCAATCATGTTTCAGCTTTGTTGTCTTTGTAAAGCAGGATAGCCACTAAAAGTTTTGAAGACATTGGCTTCAAAATTCTACCCATCTTTTGTTTTTTATTAACCATAAAACAGATGCACATGTTAGCACTAAAGTGGACCTAGAAACAATTTGTAAATGTAACACATCCAGGTATTTATTAAATCAGAGATCACCATGCACCCCCTGAAAATGCCTTCACCTACTTCTCTCTCTGGTAGGATGGCACCATCTTTCTTAAGGCATCATCCAGGGTCAGCATCTTTTTCTCATGTTCATATGTCTAGCAGTTTGGTCCCTGGCCTAGAGGAGACTGGGGAAATGCTTCCTCCTGCCTGCAGCAGACTGATAACATCACCTCAGCCTAGAAAAAGGCACATGATTGAAGCTTAGCGACGGCTTTTTAATGATAAAAGGTGAACCTTACCTAAATCTTATACTATTGCTGTATATTGTGACAGGTCAGGATTTTTGTTCTTGTGCAGACTTGTAAAATGACTAAAAAATCCACTTTAAGAGTGCTCCTTCAGACTGGCAGAGGGTGAATTTATGAATCTGCTTGAATTTGTAATAAAACATAAGCAACATGACACTGCTTCTCTTCTACACTGCCTCTCCGTACACCTTTCTTGTCCAGTGCCCCCCTTCCCAATTCACTCTAAATCTCATTGCTATGACATTTCCCATGCACCTTGTTGTACATTATGTTTTAGAGCATGGCGGCCTAGTTGATGCTTATTTAGAGGTTCCAAGGTCTTTCTGTAGGTACTTCCATCTTATACTTCTTTACTCTGTGTTTTTATAGAGAAAAGGCAGACTGGATTTTAGTAGATCATTTGATCAAAGTTTAAGCGATTCTTCCTCTCACTCTCAGGATAAACATCATGAGAAGGAGAAAAAAGTAAGTTTATCTGCTACCTTCAGCTGCATGGACCAACTGCTCCACCATGATTCATCACCGCTCATTAGTAGAGCTTTTGCCATAATAGTGTCTCTCTGTGCCATTCCTAGTGATGTGAGCTTGACCTAGTTCCTCATTCATTCTCTGCATGTGCTTTTAGATTCACATAACCTTGTACCTGATTGACCCAGCCACTTTTTTTCAGATGATTGGATGAAAATGAACTCTGTTTCGACAATTAGCATTAGAAATTATATTTTGTTATATTTATTACACATCAAGGGTGGAGATGCATCAAATGTTTTTCCTGTAGTAGTCTAATTTAAGGCCCCATTCACACTGAGCGATTTATCGAGTGATTTTTGCGGCGATATCGCTCATATTTCCACGCGATATCGCTCTATGTAGCTTCTCCAATCCATTTTCAATGGAGCTGTTCACATCTCATCGCTCAATATCGCTTGTAGCTCGTCGCTGGTAGCTTGTCGCTCCTACATGACCCTTTTTTCGAGCGATTTCGAGCGATATTGATCCTGATTGCATACAGCCCAATAGGAAAAAGTCACGCGATGTCGCGCGACAAGTCGCTCAATATCGCTTGTCGCGCAATATCGCTCAAAATCGCGCGATTTTCATGTCGCTCAGTGTGAATGGGGCCAAATAGTTACGCTGTTATGTCTTTTGTGCTCCTTCAACTCTCTTGGGTCTCACTGGGCATTGAGGGTTTGACCATCAAGAGAGATTAAACTATATTTTTTCAGACCACTGGTGATCAATGTTAGGCTGGTTGCCCAAATAAAGTAATAAAAAAGCAATAGGCGAGCTTCTAGGTTTGTTTGTTTTCGTGACAATACAAAATATGGAATGCTAACTCTAGTTTGAATATTATGACCTACAGCAGTGTGTGTTCTGCATTTCGGGTTTTCTAAACTGCTCTTCAGTTTTTGCTTAGCTGTAGCCAACCTGTTGATTTTAGCTGTGCGTTCTCTGTGCAGGCATCTGCAAATGAATATCATTCATAGTGCTGCATTCAGATTTGGACATAGTCATTCAAATTGTCTATAGATTGGTGTGTTTGGATAGTTTGGATTTGTCTATGGTAATAGACTCTCATCTGTAGTTTATCTGGCGGGAGTTAGCAATGTACATCAAAGCATCTGTACTTTTCGTTCACCTAAAGCAGATGTAAACCATTATCCCAGTCAGTCCCAATCACTTTCATCTATCCATATACTAATAATCCTGTAATAAAATCTTAAGGAAAGACTCTTTAAATGCCATTTAAAAAAACAAAACTTTTAGTAGTGTTCATGTGACTGCTCCTATTCTGTAAAGGTAAAATTCTTACTGCTTTACTTATATTTTCTTTATTTTAGACCCTATAGAATAACGAGCAGTGTAGCCTTGCAGTGCGGGGTAGCCCCATTGCAAGGATTATTTTGGAACTGCCCAGAGTTCTTCTTTAAAGGAGAACTATGACATGAGTGATTTCCACTCACCTCATAGTTCTAAGCCGACCTGTGACAATGAGACTGTCACAGGTCGGCTCAGTAGATCGGGAGGTGAGAGAACACATACCGGGTTCCCTCACCTCTCGATCCTGTCACGGCTCTCTGCCGTGACAGGGGGAGGGGCTGGATTCCCCTCTCCCCGCTCCGATCTGCCATCGCTGACTGGCGGAACGGACGGGGAGCGGGCGGGTACAGCTGGCTCTGCCTCTAGATAGGCAGAGCCAGCTGTCACTCACGCAGCTGGGCGGATCCCGTCATCTAAGTCGGGATCCGCTCCAGGTGCGGCGTCTCAGTATACCGCGAGCTGTATACTGAGCTTAGGGTAACGGGAGGACGCTAGTTTGTGTCCTCCCATTACCCCAAGGAGAACTATGGGGAAAAACACTGACCCCATAGTTCTCCTTTAACCAACATAGGAATTGTAGAAGAACCATAGCAGACCCATTTTAGTTTTTTTTTTATTTACTTAGTTATGGGAAAGTGTTTAAGGGGGCTTTAGGGTTTATTTACTAAAGAAGTTAATGTTCTCCAATTAATATATTGTAGATGTGTTCAATTATACCCAGTCGTGTGTAGCTGAAATAATAAAAAAAAAAACAGAAAATTGATTTTCACATGATTGGATAATTGAAGTGAAGATGACTTAATATTCCAAGTGGACATACTCTCATCCTTGAGTAGATCCGCCTCAACATATCTTAAATATGGCCTTGTGTAGGGAGCCAGAGAGTAAGAACAACACTCTGATTGCAAAACAAGAGCATTTTATTATAATCTGTTCAGGAACAGCTGCCAATAGCCCAATTTTGTAAGCCTTAAAGTGTTCTAGAGAATATTCACCGTTTTGGTGGATAGTGAAGGGGAGGTGAGTATGGACTGCTCGGCAGGGGAACACTAACAAGAACTTGTTTCTTGGCCCTGCATGGACAAAGCACAATCTTGCATTAGGAGCAGAGGTGAAGGAATGGGTATGGAATGGGCATAGATGGGTCTACTCTACATTCACTGTGAATGATAATTGAAAGATAATACAAAATCACCTGCACTACATACAGCGTACAGACCTTGAGTAAAAGGTTGGTGCTTGAAGTGACAACACGGATGGCGCCGTGTCAGATACAGTCCATAATGGAAGTCACCAACACTCCATGATATGTGCAAGAAGTAAAGCACTTTTTATTCAATCGTCACATGCGTCAAACACCCAACGTTTCGGTGCCCGCAAGGTCCCTTCTGGGATGTCACTATGTCACCCAGAAGAAGGGACCCTATGTGGCCCCAAAACGTTGGCTGTTTGATGCATGTGACGATTGAATAAAAAGTGCTTTACTACTTGCACATATCGAGAGCTGGTGACTTCTATTATGATAATTGAAAGGCACAGCCATGCAAAGCTATTGCCAATGGCCGAGAACAATCCAACTTTTTAGAAGAATTGTTTTTGATTTTTATCATTTGAAGAAGAGACTTTCCCTCAACCGTGGGCTTCAGTTTTCTCTGAAAAGTTCTGACCGCTTCTATGATAAGTATGACAGATGTCCTGATTATCTAACCTTTTAAAAAAACTGTGGTTGTATAAAAGGTGCATTTTATAGATGATCTGTAGTTGAAATGTCAATATTTTTTCTAAGCAGGTGGGGTTTCAGACTCTCAGACTCCTTTTTGTTGAGTTTCGCTAGTCTTGGGACTGAAACAGACAGCTTGGGAATAAATTACACTATGTTCAAAAATAGAGTCCCTGTAACCAAGTCAGTTTTGTGTTCCCTAGACAGGTATTTTTTTTTTACTCACTGTATTGGCAACTATTGGGAAACCTAACACCAGGGGAGCAGTTGAAAACAATATATACGTTGTATGTGAACTGGTCCCCTTGCTAAGATGGAATAACTAGATCCTGCACTCCTGTAGACCTCCAGGGGGCTGATATCAAGACAGGTTTAAGTACTTTTTGTGCCAGCTGCATATAAATATACATTACACTTATTTTGGTAATTCGAACTGGATTAAATGGTGCCTTTTTATATCTTCCTGCAGTACAGCTTTTGTTGCTAAGTTGTATCACACCAACACTTAGGGCGCATTCACTCCTTTGTGTTGCAGTAAAGCACCATACACATGTTTTGTGCTTCCATTAATTTTTATTGTTGCCCCAATTGGTGCAAAGCAATACCTTTTGTGTTTTGGTGCACGCTGTTGCACAAAAGGCACATATCAGTGTTTCTGGCTGTGGTGGTGCGTTGGCAACCCATTCAAATTAATAGGCTGCCTTAACGCAATATATGTTAATGTGCAATTTAACAGGCCGTGATGGGTTGGAAAAGTGTAAATTGGCCTTTAGGGTTTTAAGGTGCACCTGCCGCGTTGAGAACTCAAAAACTGCCTGGCGTTGTGCTTTCATCTGAGGAAAGAACCAAGGACAGCATCCACCACCCCTACCTTTTTCTTCCTCAGTATTTGCTTGTTCCTTAAATACAGGACCAGCTACGCAAGAGTTGAACATCACTGTGATAAATAACAGACATATATGTGTGCAGTCTATAAAGAAGGGCAGAGGAAGAATTTCTTCTGGTATACATGTATCAGAAGTTAATCTTGTAGCAAGGCATGGATGTGTCACCTTTTTTTGGACTATATTGCTACCTGCATGTTCTGATTTTAGATATTTAGTTAATGTGGTAAGGTAGCTGCTTTACACCGATGAAATTTTAGGTTTTACCTATTTTCTTTCATATTCCTATTTGGTTTTTGGTTTCTAACTTGTGTCAGTGGCATTACATTGCTTGATAGCTGTGAGCTTGGCCTGTCTGGCACCTGAACTCTATTACTTTTGCCACCCTTGCCTATTGTTTAATACGAACAGCCACATCTATTAGTTGAACTTATATTAGACCTAATAATCTTCGACTTCCAATTTTTTAAGCAAAAATAAATGTTTGTTACACAAGATGCTCACTTTAAAAAACAAAAACAAAACCCTTAATTGACTAGAGCTGAGAAAAAATAGCACTGTCGCTTTTCACTGTGGGAGAAAATATGCAGACACTGTAAAACGTGTGAATTTTTGATTTCCCAAATTACTTGCCTTCCTCTCTTCACTTAGTAATTTGTATTCTGCGTTTTAATTTTGTAAAAACCTATTCATTCACAATGTGTGTACACCCGCTGTGCTAATAGAATGTAGACATAAGTTTCGCTCTGTTCTCCCATGGTGGTTATTGGGGCTATACTGGGAATTGCTAACCGGATGCTCCTTACCCTATTGTCAGTGCCGGTCGGTCTCATCTAATGACTATAACTGCTAATGGCCAGAGGTACAGACATGCACTGTGTGTTGGTTTTGGGGTGTCGGTAGTCATTTTGAAGAAAGTTAAAGTTATGAGGTGATGGTAATAAAGTGAGAACGGTTTGCAATAATAAAAGCAAGTGCTGATTAGTGTGAAAATTGACTATATGCCAGCTCCACAGTGATTAAATAATGCATGGGCTGCA